CACGGCACACACCACGCACACACTCCATGCGCACCGCCACACACACACACACACACACATCACGAACACACACACCACCACACACACATCCACGCCTCTTATAAATTATAGATATTCAATTGAATCTGACTTCGGCGTCACGCTACAAGCTCAGCGGCGTCGGCGTGTTTATAACCTCGTCTTAACGTCGGCTCCTAGCCCTAACCCTTGCCCATGGTCTGGTGAACAAAACCAGCACCACCAGCTACACGCACACTTCTGCAAACGCGACAACGGAAATTTCCTTCAAGCTCCCCTCTTGGGAGTGGGTACCCGCGCGTCGCAGGCCAATCTCTCGAAATGGGATTCCTATTGTATGCATCACGCGCTCTCTCGCGCTTTCGTCGCCATGATTAGTAGCGGCGCCCCCCTGCCGGCCAGCCGAACTCCCGCGCGACCTTACTTGCCCGTGCGTGCGAGAGAGAGAGAGAGCACGAGCAGAGACAGAGGAGAGAGACAGAGAAGCAGAGAGAGACGAGAGAGAGGACAGAGAGAGGAGAGAGAGGACCAGAGAGTGAGAACGAGAGAGAAGAGAACGAGAGACGAGAGACTGAGGAGACGAAGCGAGAGGGATGGAGAGGGCGGAGAGAGAGGAGACGGATGGAGAGAGAGACGGCGAGAAGCAGAGACGGAGAGGACAGGAGAGGAGGAGACCCCGACGAGAGAGATGATGACGGGATCTGAGATGCGAAGAGAGGAGCGAGGGAGAGAGGAGAGATTTCGAGAGATAGACCGAGACAGAGCCGAGAGACGAGACGCTCGGCGTCGGCCGCCGGCATCCACGCCCCGGACCCGGCGCCCGAGCCGAGAGAGAATAGAGAGTATCACGGAGAGAAGAGAGCAGAGAGACGCGCAGATGAGCGCTGCTTACAGAGAGAGAGAGAGAGATGAGAGGAGAAGACGAGATAGACAGAGGAAAGTTGATCGCGCGTCTCGATGACTTGATACTCGGGGTAAGAGGCGAAATGGGCCGCGGACGGACGCGGTGAGGGTGGTGTCGCAGCGGCCTGAGCGACGAAGGACTGATGCCTGGACTCGGTGTGTGTTGGGGTGTGTGTGTGCTGTGCGTGTGCCGTGTGCGGATGTCGCGTGTGCGTGTGCACCAGCGTGCTGCCGTCGTGCGCTGTGCGTTGTGTCGTGTATGACGGCTGTCGCCCGTCGCGTGGGCCTGTGGCGCTGCGTGGGTAGCGTTGGTGCCACCCCGGGACGCCTGCGTGCGTCGAGAGCTCGTGGCTGTGTGTGAGGCCTGTGATTGGATGTAGGCCCAGGCGCGGACTCCAGAGAGCGGTGGGAGTGCGTTGGCCGCAGCGCTGAAAGGCTGAGTGTTGAGGGGGAGGGACTTGGGTGTGCGGCGTCTGATGTGTGTGGGCGGAGACGTGGATAGTGGTGGCTGTGTCCGTGGAGATACCCTGTGGGTGGTGTGTGTGCGTGTCGCTATAGCGGTCTGTGCGTGTGGCTAGGCGGGGAGTGTCGGATGAGCTGCCTGGTAGTTACTGGTCGTGTGTGTGGGTCCGTGGTGTGTGGTGTGTGCAGCCTGCGGGCGGCGCTGTGTGCGTGCGACGCGGTCTGTGGCCGTGGGCCTCCGCATCCACCGGAGATGTGCGCTTAGCTGCTGCTCGTGGTGTGGTCGTATGGTGTAAGATGCACGTGTGTGTCGAGCGGAGTGACCTCGCTTGGTTGTGTGGCGCCTTGCATCTCGGGGCGGTGCGCCTGTGTGTGTGTGTGTTGTGTGTGCGTGCGTGTTGTGTGCGTGTGTGGTGATGTTGTGCCCCCGCATGGTGTGTCGGTATGCGAGGCGACGCGTGGCGAGAATAGCCGCGTCAATCTATCCCGTTCGCCGGAATTTCCGTTCTAGTCTTCGCCCCGCCCGCCAGCCACGTCTTGCTATTTTCTCCACGTCGTCGTGCGTCTCTCTCTGCGACTCGCGTCGGCCTGCAAAGCTGTGCGGGCGCGTGTTTGCGTTGTAAGCGCACCGCGCGAGGCCAGCCTGAAGCCAAGTCGTGCACACAAACAGTCTGGCCCGCCGCACCTTTTCTCACAACACGCGCGATGACACCCTCGATCTGGTTATGCGCGATGCGGTCACCGGAAACCTCGGGCTGATGCAGAGAATGGAAGATCGAGCGGGACGGCAGGCAAGGGAGATGGAGGGATAGGAGGGGGAGGGTGCAGCGAGCAGGGGGCAAGCGGGACGGCGGCGTACGAGGAGTATGGAGCGAAGACTAGGAGCCAGAGACAGGACGGCGGTGGGCCTGCCAAGGAGCGGTGCCGAAAGGGAAGGAGAGAGAGGATGGGGGGAGCGACGGTAGACGGATGAGGGGAGAGAGGAGGGACTTGTGTGTGTGTGTGTGTAGGAGGAGGTGGGGGAATAGCCGTCAATCACGTCGCTGATTCTATTTCCCCGCCACCCACCCACCGTCTCTATTTCCACGTCGTCGTCGCTCTCTCTTCTGCGACTCGTGTCGGCAAACTGTCGGCCGGTGTTTGCGTTGTAAGCGGCACCGGCGAGGAGGCGAAGCCCCAGTTGTCAAAACACACGGCCGCCGCTTTCTCACACACGCGTCGATGGATCGATGGTGACGATGCTGATGGAAGGAGGCGGAGGAGCAAGAGGAGTAGGAGGAGGAGGAGGGGAAGGGGAGGCGGTAGAGGATGAGGAGTAGGAGGAGGATGAGGGGGAGGAGGTGGAAAAGGAAGAGGAGGAGGAGGGGGGAGGCGGTAGAGGATGAGGAGGATTTGGAGGATGAGGAGAGGTGCCGAGAAAGAGGAGGACGAGAAAGAGGAGAAATATAGAGGGGATGAGGAAGAGGATGGGAAGAGGAGGAAGTGGAGAAGAAGAAGAAAGAGGAGGAGGAGCAAAAAGGAGGAGGGGAGGAGGAAGAAGACGATGATGATGATAATGATGAGTAGGAGCAGGAGGGATGGTGCGATGGGAGGCAGAGATGTCAATAACTCATCGCTGTGTGTTTGAAGGGCAAGCAGCGAGATGAAGGACAATGTGTCGGATGATGAGAGCGGGGAGGAGGACGAGGAGGGAGACTACACCGTCTACGAGTGTCCAGGCCTCGCACCGGTACGTACTCTTGTAGCTACTATCCCTGCTGCCTGCAGTGTTCCTGATGCCTGTACTGTTCCTGATGCCAGCACTATCCCTGCTGCCTGCACTGTCCATGCTGCCTGCAGTGTTACTGATGCCTGCACTGTCTATGCTGCCTGCACTGTCTATGCTGCCTGCAGTGTTACTGATGCCTGCACTGTCTATGCTGCCTGCAGTGTTACTGATGCCTGCACTGTCTATGCTGCCTGCAGTGTTACTGATGCCTGCACTGTCTATGCTGCTCACACCTCTTCTCCCAGTGTTACTGATGCCTTGCAGTGTTACTGCTTGTCCTGTTACTGTTCCTTATTGCCTGCACTGTCCCTATGCCAGCATATCCCTGCTGCCGTGCCACTGTCTATGCTGCCTGCGTGTTACTGATGCTGCACGTGTCTATGCTTTTGCCTGCAGTGTTACTGATGCCGCACTGTCCATGCTGCCTGCAGTTTACTGATTGCCTGCCACTGGTCAATGCTGCCTGCAGTGTATACTGCATGCCTGCACTGTCTATGCTGCCTGCAGTGTTACTGATGCCTGCACTGTCCATGCTGCCTGCAGTGTTACTGCTTCCTGTACTGTTCCTTATGCCTGCACTGTCCCTGCTCTTGCTGCTTTACACAGTCTCTGTTGCCTGCACCGGCACCCTCCCCCCTCTCGCGACTAGTGAGTGATCCTTCTCAATCCGGCCCACCACCGTCTCCTTAGAATCCCACGCAGCACGCGGGGAACCTGCCAGCGCCTACCCCTCTCCCCCTCCCCCTGCACGCTGTCGCTTTCGTCAAAGGCTTCATTAGCTGGAGAAGACGAGCAGGCGAGCAGGCTGGCGGGAAGAAGCAACTCTTGCAGCGGCGCGCCGGAGACCGGATGCGACGCGAGAGCACTTCGTTGATTGCGTCGCGTTGTGCGTTTATTTTGCGTTTATCGTTTCGCTAACTCGATGTATATATAACTCGATGTGTATAACTCGATGTATATATAACTCGATGTATATATAATTCGATGAGGCGGCCGACGTTGAGCGCGTTATATATATATATATTATATACTATACATGATAGATATATATAATATATATAGTATATATAGAGAGAGAGAGAGGGAGCAGACGAGAGAGAGAGAGAGATGAGAGAGAGAGAGAGAGAGAGCGATGAATGAGAGAATGAGAGAGAGAGAGAGAGAGAGAGAGAGCGAGAGAGAGAGTCCACGCGACGGATTTTAGTGGACTGGCGATTGATATTAATGAGCGAGGTTCAACCCACTCCCTCCCTCCTCTCCTCCCTACTCCTCTGCGTATTTATGGAGCGTGTTTATAGCCGCGTGCTTTTGTGATTGGTCTGATGTAGTTGAGTATTGATTGATTTGTTACGACTGATTATTACTGATGTTCCTGAGTTTATTGATTTTTTCTGGTAGGTTCTTTATCCTTGGTTTTTATGTTTGCATATTTATTATTTATTAATCTGATTTGTTGGTTATTTCTCGATTTTCTTATTGTTTATTGATTGTGGCTCTTATCAGTTTATCGTTTATTTTTCAGATCGATTATTTATCGTTTATTTTTTTACGATCGGTTTTTTATCGTTCATTTATTCTGATGACTTATCTATCGTTTATATTTTACGATCGGCTCTTTATCGTTTATTTTTTTCTGATCGGTTGCTAGTCTCCTCGCGACCATTCACGGACCCCTGTTCACACACCCTTCCTTCCGCTTTGCAGACCGGCGAGATGGAGGTGAGAAACCCGTTGTTCACCGACACCAGAACACCGCACGCGAGCGACAACGGGGAGGAGCAACGCGACTCCGACCCGTAGATTCCTTCCCCGCCCACCAGGGGGCGCCGCTGCCACGCCGAGGAGCGTCCGCGCGCCGCTGCCGAGTCGCTGATCACGCCTACCGAGGGAGCCAGGTTGCCGGGGTCGTCGTTTCGAGCTGCCTCTTGTTGTTTTTTAAATCGTCGTTGTTGTCGACTAACCAGAACTAACGGGTCGCGAGACATTTGGTTGTTTTTTTGCATTTTTTAATCGCACGACAGACAACTAACCACCACCTCCCCAGGGGTCTCACTCATCGAGAATTTTTTTATTTTTAAATGAGTCACGTACTTGTCGTGCACGGAGCAGACGAAAACGACGCCCAGACCCTTCCCGATATCCCGCTCTCCCGCTATCCCGCTCGCAAGTCACACGGCTTCTCGATTTGTTATTATTAGGATTATTATCATTGTGATTGTTTATGTTGTTGTTATTATTATTATTATTATTATTGGAAGCTAAATCATTCCGGCGAGCGAACGATGCGGTATCAGGCGCGCAGGAGGCGTGTCGGCATAGGCGAGATGCGCGCGGCAGTGGTGCCCTCTAGTGGGAAAAATGAGTACCGTAGAGATGTTGACGATGGTCGTTAGTTTAATTCCCCGGAAACCTGCTGGGTGACACTATCGGGAATTCTCCCCCCCCCCCCTGCATTCCGAGATTTTTAACGCGCCCCGACGTGACAAGGAAGTGGACGTCGGCGGTTTTTCCCCCACTTTTAAACAAAAAATCTCTGCGGATTTCGCTCTCGGACATTCCGCGCAGAGTCGGCGTGGTGGTTTTTATCTGGTCGCTATGGCGACGACCGACCAATACTCTTGATTCGTTACCGGAAAATCCTAGACGTTGACATGTACATTGTAAGATATATATCTCAAGGGCAGCCCCCAGGTTTGGCTGGCCCGAAAACCAACGCAGGTTTACGGCGTCAGTCCACTGCGCCCAGTTCAAGACTGGCTGCCCCCCCCCCAATCCACGTCCCATGATTCTACCCCAAAGATGTGTGTATATACGGTATATATATATGAATGAATATATATATATATATATGTTGTTGTATATTGTATATTTTATCAAGTGTGAGAGATACAAAAAGAGAAACGGAGAGAGAGAGGAAGAGAAAGTCGAATCGATTCGAAATCAGGACTTGGTACATTCCGTGTAGACCACCTGCTGTGACGTAACTGCCGGGGCGCATACTGTCACCGTCACTACCCCCTCGCAGAGAAAATCCGATAACCGGATTCACCCCCTCTACGCGGGTCTAAAGTGAGAACGCAAGTCATTCCTCGAGTTGGAAGCTATTAATATATATTTGAAATCGCCGTGTGGGCCACAGAACGCCGCCCCTGACCCCACCCCCTACACTGTCGCCCCCGCCGCCTACACCATCACCCCTGACCCTCATAGCACTGCCCCGCCCCTCAGTGGGCGTGGCTGGTGTTGCGGAGGGTGGATAAAGGGACGTCACATCTAGTCATGGGGGCGTGACGATCGAACGGAGAGGCGATCGGACGTAATCCTGTTAGAATGGCGGCAAATCGAAGTGCTCGATGGGGACCACATGAAAGTCCAGAATGAAGTCATGTTGTTTTGCGGCGTTCCTCGCCGCTTCCATTCCACGCGCGAATCGTACTGGAGTGTCGCTCGCTGCCACCAGCGGCACGCCCGGTGGGGGACGTTCCCCGCGTTTGTCCCCCGCACGCATGCGCGGCGTGATCGCGCGGTGGCGCCCCCTTCCGGCGTGCCGCTGTCGGTGTCTGTTGTCAGCGTGAGTGGATAAGGAAGAACTGTTGTCGTAGAGTAGTAGTACAGCCAGTAGTAGCAGTTCATCCGTAGTAGTCTCTCCCACCTCCCTCCATCGTCTGGTAGTACCACCTCTCACCCACCCCCGCCCACCCCGAAGCCAACCTAGTCATTATAACACTGGTCATTTATATTATAGTATCGGTAGGCTCGCGTACATGTACATGCCTATATGCGTATAGTCGCGTGTATGTATGTACGTATGTGTGTATGTATGTGTGTGTGTGTAGGATAAACTGCGGTGATCGTGATGGTGTATTTACCAGCGGTTACGATGTGATTTTTCGCGATGCTGCGTTGCTGGAATTGCTTCTGTGCACACATACGTATATCTAGGCTCCCTCCCCCTGATTTTGCTGGCTAATCGATAGGTGGAGAAGTTGTCAGTACGTACTCGTGGTGAATATTGTGTCGGACTATTGCTGCTATGCATTGCACATCTTTCTAATCCTCACACTCTGTCACCTCAGAGCACGCCCACTCTACCCTCCTCCTCCCCTCACGCACGCACGAACACAGCTATACACTCACACTCCCGCGCGCGCGCACGCACGCACGCACGCACGCACTCACTCACGCACACACAAACAAAAACGCACACGCGCGCGCGCGCGCGCATGCGCCACCATCACCCATTAACCACCCATTAACTGGGCAGCGTCGGGTGAGCTGCGGGGGGAGGGGGGGGGTCTCTCGGAGACACTCCCCACTACGTGGCAGCTGCCGTAGTGTGCGTGTGTCTATCTGCTGCGTCGTCATCACTAGATTGCTCTGAGGTGACACCGCTCTTGTTGCTGCAGTGAACTGTGCAGTGTCGTAGGGAAGAGTGGCTCCTTCTATGAACGTTCTAGAACAACTACCCACGCCCTCCAACCCCAACCCACAAGTTGTGCGTGCTGGCTGCGTCAGCACGCATTTACTTGAGGGGTGTTCCCTGAGAACCCAGAGATATCGTACGAGTGAACACGGACGAAGAATGCACGAGCTGTGCCATTGCTGTAAAATTGTTAGTTGCCTGTGCGTATGAGCAGAACAAAGCAAAGCAAACCGCCGTGGTGTATGAGTGAATCGAGTATAGCACGTGTCGATAGAGGAGAGGTCATTGAGGTTTCAGGGATAACATCACAGTTTCTGGAAAGCCTTCCGGGTTCCATGGACGATACCCTGGTTAGAGGGAATCCTTCTTGGTTCTAGGAGGAAAATCTTCCTCCGGGCACCAGGAAGGAAATTCTGGTTCCAGAAAGGATATACCCTGGTTCCATGGAATACTTCCCCGGAGTCAGGAAGAAAATTCCGTTTCCAGAAAGTTATCCTGGATCCAAAGAAAGAGCTCCAGGTTCCAGCAAGAACATCCTTGTTCCAGGGAAGACCTCTAGGCTTCGGGGAGGTCGTCCAGGTTTGGGTGGCAGTGGTCGCGGCTTAAGACGGGTAGGGAAGCTGCGGATTTTATCGCTGGCCACTCCCCCTGATGCCTTCTCCGGGGGGTTGGGGGGAGGCACGTGGCGGAACCGGCTACCGGCTCGTGGCTCCCCCTGGGAGGCTTTTACTGAAACCTGGGGAGTGAAACCCCTTCCCGACTCCTCTATCGACGTGGTGCTTTACGGATTATACTTCAATGCTGGTGAATACGCGTGTTGTTTTGACCCGGACCGCCCCAGACATGATGGCCCAAAGGCTCTCATGCACCCTTTAGAGGTGTCATGACTCCCCTAGGGCCCGCATGGTCCTCTAGAGCTGGTATGACACTTCTAGAGCCTGCGTGACTCACAGGTCCGCCAATCTTTGATGTACAGGCGCAGAGAGTCGCTACTGTCGGCGAGCTGCGCGCGATAGCGAGGTTCAACTCAAACGGAGCGCCATCTGGCGGCGCGCGAACGATGCGTTGTTGTCGTTGTCGCGTGTTGTTGTTTGTTGTTGATGTTGATGATGACGATGATGATGAAGTTGTTTACGCTACGAGACGACGCTGTTGTTGTTATTTACGCGCGCGCGCGCGGCGGGAGGGCCGAATTAGGATGGTTTCCTGCAAATCCTGAAATGCGGAAATCGTGCATTCGTCGGTTGTTCGGTGATTGTATGTGAGCTCGTTGCATGAACCTCGCTGTCCTACGCCCTGCGACATGTGACACTTCTGAATCACCATGCAGCATCACCCTCAGCCCCAGCCCCTTCGTTGTCACTGACGTCTGCGCAGTGCCTGCTCGAATAGTTTAAATCGCTTATCATTATTTTGGAGAAAGACGTATCTCTATGTCTAGACGCGCGCGTGCCGCTACAATCGTGTGAGATGGAGAGAGAGATATGTGCTCGTGTGTTATATATATATATAACTAGTTATTACGACTCCTTGTCGTGAAGGGAAACTCGTCCGCTTCTGTCAGTATGTAAATATTTATCGAATTGCGTCGACTTCGCGAGTCGCGATTGGCCGAGAGTGTGATCACGTGATGCTATTCCAACATGGCGAAAATTTCCGCGTGCGCGTGTTAGTACACGGCGTGTTGGTGAGTGCACGCACGCATGCAGGCACGCACGCTCTCTGCTGTCGCGTTGGTCACAGTGATGAACCGTAGGGAGATTGACGCGGGGCGGCGACGTTGGCGCTAACTTCCTTAACAACGAATGTCTAGAACAGGAAGCAACGCCTGCAGCGCCGCCCCGTGTCACCGCGCGACGCTAGCGTGTGATGACAGTAGTAGTGGGGTTGATGAAGCATCTCAGGTTGACGTCACTTCCGCTTCTCATTCCGCTGTATTTTCCCAATGAAACGCTAAACGGGAAATGCAGAGGAAATCTCTATATATATACGGATAGTCGGCCATATTGGATGGCGAATCGTCACTACTCTTCAGCCGTCGGGTGTCGCGTAGCGTAGTTACTCTTTCATCCACCGCGTCAGCTTGTCGCTGTTGTCGTGCGTGTGTCTATTCCGGTGTGTGTTACGTCATTGTCGTTACCCTATGACCTCGAGTAGCTTGTTTGCGTCGAGGTGGCAACGCGCGCTACTATGTGAAAGTGGAAACCCCATATTCCATTATATTCATCTTTTCTCGTCTGTGTTCACAATAAATCCTGGCTTGGTCCACGAGATGCGAAGCCTTTGGCGTTTTTTTCTTTGTGCGTCATACGAGCGCGATTACCTTGTTGTTCCTCTCGTCGGCGAATATAGGTAATAAACAGAGAGTATGCCTCGAGGGCTGCTTTTTGAACTATGGCGTAGCTGGACTGCCGACAAGAGAGCTGAATGCAATTTGCCCTAATTTTTTTCTTCTTTGTGATGTTATTATTTTAATTAAGGTTCGGCGATGAAAACAATTCACCGTTTTTTCGTGTAATTAAAACTGCATAAAATACGGTGGTCCATCTTTTCTTAAAATATGGATCAGTCTACACCCCAGATGCTATTCGATGACACTTTTTTATTTATTTTTTATTTCTTTGATTTAAGGAGGTTCACTCTCACTGTACTGTAGCATACGAGATGTACGTGTCGTTACAGTGTCCTAGCATATGTCGAGTGTCCAAAAACAAATATTATTCAGTCGATATCATCAATATCATGCATTATTATCATGCAACAAATTCACGGAAGGAGGTTTGCCTACGTGAAATGCGAAAATACGATGTTTGAATAAGTTAAATTACATTAGTATCTGGATTAATCCAAATTACGGAAGATACACACAAAGAGAGATAGTAGAAACAAAGAACTAGACGGACAGAAAGACAAGGAGGGAGGAAGATAGCGAGCGTGTGTGACAGAGAGAGAAGGGGAGATTAAATAACCGGGACAGGGAGAGGATATCACAAGCGAGATGCAAGTTGAAAGAGGGTGCGAAAATCTAATAGATAGATAGAAAGCGAGAGAGGCGTGTGAGCGAGTATGGCTGTGGGATAGAGGGTGACTGTGCGAGAGAGGTGCTGTAAGAAAGAGAGATAGAAAGGGTGTGTGAGAGAGAGAGAGAGAGAGATGCTGTAGGGGGGTGGGGGAGAGAAGGTGTGCGTGAGCGAGAGAGAGAGAGAGNTATATATATATATATATATATATATATAGTGTGTGTTGTGTGTGTGTGTGTGTGTGTGTGTGTGTGTGTGTGTGTGTGTGTGTGTGTGTGTGTGTGTGTGTGTGTGCGTGCGTGCGTGCGTACGTGCGTGTGCGTGTGTACGTGTGCTGAATTCTCTGAATGAATTGGAAACAACACAAACTCGATTTGCTCCCTTTTTGCACGTTTTGCGTTTTACGTGTTCTGTATCCGTCGTAAAACTACATCGCATTCCTTGGGATACTGTCAGAACAATACAGCGCGTATTGTGCATGAAATTGGGAGCGTTCTGTAGGCTTGTAACGTCTTCCATCTTCTTCTTTACCTTGCCTCCTTTAGAAAATTCGCTAATTACCATAAGAGAGGAGCAATTACCATACAGAGTTCGCACATTTCGAACAAACTCGTTTAATCTCAAGAGGCGGCATCGGACGTTGCGCGTGTGCATGAATCGACTAAGGTCTCAAATACTGCAAAGGTCGTCGTAACACAATCCATACTTGCCTATACGGCCTCTATGTACACCTCGCTGTAAAAGTCTATATAAACGGTCGCTCTTTCGCTATCTCTTTCTCTCTCTCTCTCACACACATATCTTCTCTCTCTCTCTCTCNTCTCTCGTCTCTCTCTCTCTCTCTCTCTCTCTCTCTCTCTCTCTCTCTCTCTCTCTCTCTCTCTCTCTCTCTCTCTTCTTCTCTGTGTGTGTGTGTGTGTGTGTGTGTGTGTGTGTGTGTGTGTGTGTGTGTGTGTGTGTGTGTGTGTGTGTGTGAGTGTGCATGTGTGTGTGAGAGAGAAGGGGCGGATAACCTCAGTATACCATCAGGCCGTAAGCGAGCCAGTCGTCGGTCCCCTGTGTCGTATCGTATACGCGCCAACAACGTACGCAGCTCCCATCCCCCCGACCACGTTCACGTAAAAACTACAGCGACCACTCCCCTGTCTACACACAGCTACAGCGACACGACGTCTCCCCTTTCTTCCTCTCTTCCTACTAGCCATACAGCTACACCCACGCCACGACGTCTCTCCTTTCTTCCTCTCTTCCTACTAGCCATACAGCTACACCCACGCCACGACGTCTCCCCTTTCTTCCTCTCTTCCTACTAGCCATACAGCTACACCCACGCCACGACGTCTCCCCTTTCTCCCCTTTCTTCCTCTCTTCCTACTAGCCATACAGCTACACGCACACCCCGACGCCTCCCCTTTCTACCCTTTCTCCTCTCCCCCAACTAGGACTAGCTGCTGCTGTGGTTATTACAACCAACATTCGTCCGGTAACTGTTCAGCGACGAAGGTAACAACATCTACGCATTCGGAGGACGTCGGCGACAATGTGGCGACGTGTCGTGACGTTTTACGTCGTCGTCGTCGTCATAGCAACGTGTTGTGCGTCGTCCGAGTTTGATCATCAGCCCCCAGCGGCAGTCGACACTAATGGTGAGTACGTGTTAATTGATAAGCCGTGGAGAATATGGATGGGATCGTGGTGGTGTTGTCTTCACTTAACAAAGCATAGCATGACCAATACGAAAATCTTTCATCTTTAGAATACTGTATCGCCGTATATGAATTTTGTTATCTATTATATTAGTCGAAACAATTATATATCCATTGTGAGCATGGTATATATAGGCCTATATATATATATATATATATATATATATATAATGTGTGTGTTGTGTGTGTGTGTGTGTGTGTGTGTGTGTGTGTGTGTGTGTGTGTGTGTGTGTGTGTGTGTGTGTGTGTGTCGT